GGTATCAACATTTTTAAAATTAAGTAAAAAAGATAGAATCCAAATAAAAGAAAGTAAATAATGATCGAATTATGAGAAATTTTCACATAAAAGCTTTTCAAAAGCTTTATAATAAAAGTTTTGCTTCTTAATTGCAAAACGAAAAGCAAAACTATAAGATTTCGGGGAGTTTAAACTAAATTTTAGGAAATAATATAAGCATACAAAATAAAAAAAGGAAAGGCTCTTACATCAAAAAGCTTAAATAAGCTAGAGCAATAAAAGCTGAATTATTTAAAAGGTTGGTTAGGAAACAAGCAAAGCATACAAAATAAAATATATTGCAAAAAGTTTATGAGTAAAAGAGAGATTTGCAACCTTAGTAATGCAGTAAAACTGTTGCGGATAGAAAGCTGCTTTAAGTAAAAAAGCTTTTACTTGCGTTAATTATTAATTTAAAACATTGAGGGCGTGGCAAAAACTAATTAAACAACAAAAGCTTTTAAAGCTAACTAATAGCTTATCTTAAGCTGTAGCAGATAAGTTGCTGGACTCTGAAGAGGGGTGGTAAAAGCTGCTTCAAGTAAAAAAGCTTTTAAAGCTTTTCCTATTGGATTTATTATTAGTAGATAAGTTGCTGGACTCTGAAGAGGCATGGTAAAAGCTGCTTTGAGTAAAAAAGCTTTTAAAGCTTTTCCTATTGAATTTACTATTATTTTAAAACATTGAGGGCGTGGCAAAAACTAATTACAAAACAAAAGCTTTTAAAGCTAACTAATAGCTTATCTTAAGCTTGAGTAAAAAAGCTTTTAAAGCTTTTCCAATTGGATTTATTGTTATTTTAAAACATAGAGGGCGTGGCAAAAACTAATTAAACAACAAAAGCTTTTAAAGCTAACTAATAGCTTATCTTAAGCTATTAGTTTTAAACTTCTAAACTATAGTTATTAATTATTAGGTTTTTTATCTAAACAAAAATCTTAAAAATTTTTAAAAATTAAGTACAAAAACCCTTAACAATAAAAATTATGTATGTTTTAATTTTTCTACTGTTGCGCTGTTTTTTCTGATTTAATGTATTTCCTGGTTTCGATTGCATCAACATTTTTATAGTTATAGTATACTTAGACAGCAGCAAAATAAAACACATATACACATACTAAAATACATAAATAAACTGTGTAAGTAGTATTTCACAAAAAAAAAAAAAACTATTTACACAATTGTACAAGTACCTCTAAAGCCGAAAAGAGGGCGGTAAATATTTATATAGAATCTTCGCATCAACTAAAAACGCAAATTTTTTGTCGGTTATTTTGGTGTATGTTTTAGTTTTTTTCGGTTTTGTGACTGATCAATAATGTCTAACTAGTGGCCGGCAGCATCGTTCACCCCCTCAATGAAAATGTTCTCTTTATGTTCTTCTTAATGTTTAAATGGCGAGAGTAATTTTTTTTTTATTTATAATTAGCCACAAATGAGTCTGAAAGCGTTTTATTATTATTATTGTATTTTCGTATTTATATGCAACGAAATTGCATATATGCCATGCATTTATATTTGTTTGTATTTTATTGTTGTTGTTGTTGTTACTGCTGCTGCTAAATGTGGTTTTGCACTTGCACTTGGCACGCATTTTCCTTTTGAAATGAAAACAAGTAAAAGTTTACGAGGAGGTCTTAAACGAATTTATAGAGGTCGCTACTTTAGGAAAATGTCTAGAAATACCAGGGTTGGTATTATTACAAGAGTAACATTAGATAATGTTGCTAAATTCATATAGAAAGAAAGAAGTTGCAAGATTTGCTAGGTTATACGTGGGATAGGTGTAACTTTGCTGGGTTTAGTATAATTACAAGATTGGATTAAGAAACAATAATTAAGTATAAAACGTTTATTTAACGCTGCTAATCATCTATGAAACTTAAAATATTTGTCTTAAACATGTAGTTTTAGCTAGACTGCAACAAATTGTAAAGCAAATAAAAAAAACTATAAATTATAAATGTACATCTTTTAACAAAAACAAACAAATATCTGAAAAAAAAATTTAAATAAAAACTGTACTAAATAATAACAAAAAATTTTTAGAAATTTATGTGCTAATAGACCACAGTGCGTATGATTTATATTTTCAAAAACGAAAAAATTAAGATATTTGCGTTCATATTTTCAATCTTTTTGCTTTGATAGACAGTCACTTGAGAACCAGGAAAAAATTAATACACATCATCATCAACAACAACTACAACAACATGTAACGTAAACGTCGCCGTAGTTAGTCAGTTATTTAGTTGCAATAGTAGCTGCTAGCTCTAATGCATTGAGTGTAAATGATAAACAAATTCAAAAAACTATATACATATAAAATATAAATAATACTACAAAAACAACAACAACTAACAAAACTATATGAGGAACAATAAAAGCAAAGCGCATCATGACCTTGAAGCAAAATGCAAAAATATAAAAATAAATAAAAAAAATTTTTATACACATACTCGTCGTCAAATGTATGCACAATGGCTACTCAAAAGGTTTACACTACAGTGGGTTCAAAGTGACTAACAAATAAATAGAGAATAGAAATGAATACATAATTAATGAAATTGCAATTAAAAGAGTACTTAGTTGTAGTATAAAAGACAAACTAATTTTATTAAAAGAATTTTTTTAAAACTTTGAAATAGTTTAATTAATAGTTTTAGAAAACTATTGTTTTTTTAGCAACTTAACCTATTTGGCTAATTAATGCTTTTGTAACATTTAATAAAAAAGCTTTATAAATAATCTTTATTATGATTTTATTTGATATTTGAAAAACAAAGTACTCTTCCTGTAAAGGTGAGTGCACATTTTCAAGTTGAATGTCTGTTTATGTGTAATTATACGATTACAATTTGTACACACATTTCGCAATTTCTTATCGCTTGAAAACATATATAATAAAATAATTGAAATACACAGACACATTCGCTTACATACACACCCCTACGCTAGCAAATGTCCTTCAAATTTTTGTACTACAATTAAATAAGAATCTGTTCGTAGGGGGGAATTCATAAGAAAATAACAAGAAAATTTAAATATTTTTTAAAATTTAACAGTTTTAAGGAAATCATAAATTCTAAAAGTCCATAACTCAAAAGTTTCTGTTAAAAGCTTTTTAGTTTTACACATAAAAAAGTTAACCTTTTTAAATAGTTTTTAATTTTGCAATAATTTAAAAAAATAAAACGTTCTTTAATATTTTAATTATTTTACTTAGTTGCTTTAACATTAAAGCTCTAAAGTTATAAAAGCTTTTAAGTTAAAAAGCTTTTTGTAGCCGAAATCTTAACAGAATCTCAGTTTAATGCTTACAGATTCAGCCATAACTTTGCAGCTTAAAAGCTTACAAATATTAGCATTTTAAAGCTGATTTTTTTAAACCATCATTTACTCAAAACTCAATAGAGTCTTCTTTAAAAGCTTCATTTAAGAACTTTAGCGAAATGCCTTCATAAAGCTACTTGAAAAAGACAAAATTCGGAAATTTAAGTTTAATGCTTTTTAAAAGCTTAAACATTTGGTTGAAAGCCAAAAGCTTTTAAGGATAACATAGAAAAGTTTTCGCTCCTTTTAGATAAAGGTCATAACTCCAGCTTTTATAAATACTTACAGATTCAGTCATAACTTTAAAGCTTAAAAGCTTACTAATATTAGCATTTTAAAGCTTAAAGTGAAAGCTTTAAATATTTATATTATTTTTATAACTTTCCCAAATATTTTATATTGATTTTTTTTAATGTTGTTAATGTAAAACCATCATTTACTCAAAACTCAATAGAGCCTTCTTTAAAAGCTTTATATAAGAACTTTAGCGATATGTCTTTAAAAAGCTTCCTAAAACTTGAAAAAGAAATAATTTAGAAATTTAAGTTTAAAGCTCTTTAAAAGCTTCAAAATTTGGTTCAAAGCTAAAAGCTTTTATGGATAACATAGAGAAGCTTTCGCTTCCTTTAGATAAAGATCATAACTCAAGCTTTTAGAAGAGTTTTAATAGAAATTGTAAAGACTGCTGGATGTATTTGGAAAGCTCTACTGAAAGCTTTAGGAAGCTTTCGAAAGTTTTTAAATTTAAAGTTAAAAATCTAAATTTTTCGGTTTAAAATAAACATAAATAAAAGAAACTTAATGCTCTTGCCTAATCTTAAAATTTTCTAAAGGATTATTCTGATATGATAAGTCCAACATCCCCAAAACATAGAAAGTCCATAAAGTACAGACATTATTTAATAGAGGCCAATTGATAAATTTTGCACAACAAGATGATGACGATAATGATGTTCTAAGATAATAATGAGGGAAATGAAAACGATGATAACCAAACTTATAAATTGTGTCGCAGCATTCTTTTTTTTGCTTCTTGCAATTGAAATTGTTTTATTTTTATTACAATTATAATTCGTTTTCATTTAATTGAGTAGACGACGATATTTTTTTGAAATTGAAAAAAAAAATCGTAAATTTCTCATTTTTTCACTTCCTAGTTGTTCAAAAAAGAAAATTTACACATAAATGATTAAAATTAAAAGTATAAATTTGTATCTATGTAAGAGTAAATGTAAATTTTAGAAATTAAATAAAATGTGACAAAATGGCGCCATTCAAAAATAACAACCAAAATATATAAATAAAATTAAGTGCCAACATATATAGGAAGCATTGAGCGAGATAAAAATAACCAAATATCAGAAAATTATTAATTATTTAACCCTTCTTGTAAAACTTCTTTAATCAAAAAAAAAAAAAAATTAATACTAAATCATAACCTACACCACCAACAAATTATGTGCTTTATATTTTTTCGTATTTCTAACTAATACAGGGACGCGATCACTATCAATCACCACCACTACTAATACTTGAACAACTATCAGCGCCACAACTATTATTATTTCTTTTTATTATTTATTTTTTTTTATTTTACATTTTACCGAATAGTTTTTATTATGTAGTTAAAAATTTTCGCGCTTTCGCAGTTTTCCGCATGTTTTGGCACTTAGAATGTTTTTGCAAGTGGCTCGGTCGGTTATGTTTCGTTTAGTATTGTATTCTAATCGGTGCGTCGGAAAACATTTCATCAACATTTCTTCTTTCTTTTTATTGAACTTGAAAGTGTACAATAAACTGTTAATAGAAAAAGACAATATTTATATTTTATTTATTTTGTCTGATAATAAAATTGAAATTTAAAAAAAAATAAGAAATACTAAATTTTTTATAAAAACAATTTAAAGAAAAAAACAAAACTATTTTTATGTAAGAGTTAAAAAAAAAACAATTTTAATAAACCAACACTGCCTTAACAAACATTCTTCAACTTACAAAGGATTTTTTTATCAAATTTATATTTTAACAAAACCTACAGGTGAGCTTTTTTTATAGATTTCAACCGGCATTTTTTTTTTAAATACTTTAACCAAGGTCAAGCATTAGCATTGACAAATTTTTTGTCATGTGTGTTTAACAGGATTTTTTGAATAATCTAAAGTTTTCGAAATAAATTACTTTGGAAAAGCTTTTTTATTTAAGTTTATTTTTTAACACGGAAGAGGAACAAAAGCTAATATTTGCATTGTAAAACAGAATTGCAACCCTATAGAGCAAAAAAATCTACTCATAAAACTCACTCATTTTTTAATTATACACACACACACTCAGTTATACTTTTTTAGTTACACGCATACTTTTATATTTATTTAAAATTTTTACTCTCTTACATGGTTTTTTTAACATGTTCTAACAGGGGGGATAAGTGCTCATAAAACAGAGTTGGAAAACTGAAAGCTTTTTGTGAAAATCTAAAAGAAAGTTATTTTCAATTTAATATATATTTTTTAAATTTTATTAAAATTAACACAAAGAAAGCTTTTTGAACTTATAAAGCTTTTTCTTATATTATGTTAATTTTTAAAGTTTTTTTTTTATATTTCGATATCATATAGAAATTATTAATTATCTTAAAAAAAAAATATACTTAACGAAAGCTTTGTCAACTTAACGAAACTTTATTTTTGCTATTTAATAACATATCAAGAATATCTTTTGTAAATTCTAAAAGCTTAAATAAAATATGACATCACTACAGAAAAAAAACTTACTTAACGAAAGTTTTTTAAACTTAACGAAACGTTATTTTCTTGGTTAAGTAATATTTTCAAATTTTTTTTCTATATTTTAAAAGCTTAATTAAGATTTTAGTTAACTGCAGATAAAAATCCTACTTAACGAAAGTTTTATAAACTTAACGAAACTTTATTTTCTTTAATAAAGCTTTTTTAAAAAACTTTTAAATGTATTACAAAAGCTTGTGTTATATGTTATTCTAAAATACACAAGTTTTTAATTTAACGAAAGTTTAAAAAAAAACTTAACGAAAGTTTATTTTTTAAACTAAAGCATTTCTTAAAAACTGTTATTGGCAATTTAAAAACTTTAAACTGATATTAATTAAAAATAGCAAAATTTTATATTTAAGGAAATTAAGAAAAAAACTTAACGAAACTTTATGTCCTTAACTAAGCAATTATATGTTAACTTTGTTCGTTATATAGAAAGCTTTTAAGCATTATTATGCTTTATTTTTCTTGTTTCCAACATTTTTCACTTGCATTTACCACAACACTAAACTTTACATCTCTGAGCAGAAATGCATGAGTGCGCGTTAGTTGCAATTTTATTATTTTTGAGTTTAAAAAATATTCCTCTATATGGGTCAGTAGTGTGTGTGTATATATATAAAAAAAAAACAAAAATATGAAAATCTACGGCATTTTGGATTTCCGTATTTATTTATATGTTTATAAATGTATGAGTGAGTTAGTGTTGGTATGAGAGCAAAAGCACTTTGTTTGGAATAATTTCATAGAAATTTTTACAAAAGTTTGTGTAGTTATCAAAAACAAAAAAAAAATTATGGAAAAAAGTTCTTAAACTGAGTGCATCCAGAACAGAGTGCAATTTGTAATGCTAAAGTAAGGGTGCAAAAAGAGCACCATGAGTTTAGTAGTATCATTAGACACTATATAACGAAAACTTGTAAATGTAGAAAGTTTATATATAGTTTTTTAATTTTTTTTTTAAATATTTTCGTAATTTTTTGTTAAAACAAAACTTGTTTTTAAATTTAAAAGAATTTACGGCATAATTTTAAAATTTGTACCAAAACCGAGTAGTTTTCAAGTGTTTTTTAAGTTTTTAAAAAGGTGAGTTTTATTAACAAAAAGGAATCTCTTTGTTCTTTAAATAATATAAATTTTATATTATTTACAAATTGATAAGAATTAAAATCATTAATTGATAAGATAATAATTTAACTAATAAGCTTCCGCATACAACAACAACAACTAACTAGAAAAACAGCAACAAATTTCAATTAAAATGTAGCCTTCAAAAGGCTGTTTTCTCAAAACTTAAGGAGTCACTATATAAGTAAAAATAACCAAAAAGCTTTTTTATCAAAGAACTCAAGTCATCTAATAGAAAAATGTTTTCCTCTCTCTCTCTCTTACTCAAAAAGAAATTGAGCAAATATTTAAACTAACTGACGAAAGCATCACACACTACTACTTTTCAGTACTAGTAGTGAGTGCAAATATTAGCCACTACTACCGTTACAATAAGAAACTATTTATATATGTGCTCTAGAAGTAAAAGGAAGAGCAAAAGGGGGTCTCTAGCGGGGAGTAAAGGGTTTAACCTCCAGACGACGGTCAGGAACGACGCAACACACTATAACGAATTAAAGTAAAAGTGAATTTCTATGACATGCATTTCATTTGCTTTTGCAATATACATTCATTATATTCTTTTCGTTTATTTGCACTTTTTTTTCTCTGTATTTTTATCGTTCTAAATTCATTATTACAAATGTTCAATGGTGGGGGTGATAAGTTGGTGGATGTCGTCGTACCAGATCCACTCATAGACTAGCAATCATAGAAACAACACATTCAGCAACAATTGTATGCAATTAGTTATACTAAATGCAACAACAACAACAACAACAAAAATAGTTTTTAATAATTCTTAAATACTTTTTTTGCTACAGCAGGCCAATCCAAAATATATTACACATACACACACACAGACACAAAAAGTAGAAAACGTATATTAAATGTTGTGGTTGATAAAATGTAACACAAAGTCAAGGCGAGGCGCATACAAACGATATTAACCTTGAACTTTAGGTCAGCTGAAAAAAAGGCTATAAATACTTAAACTTATTGAACTTAATAAATGTTTATTTTCCTTGTAAAATTTGTAATTAATTAAAGTTTTCTTCGGTTTTTCACTTGCAGTTTCAAAATCAACAACATAACATCAGCAACCCAAAATAAAAACCAAACCAACAAAACCAACACCAACATAAATCATTTAGATTTAAAGATTTCGTTAAACACTAAACAAAAGAAAACGGAAGGAAATTTTCAAAAATAAAATTCCAGCAAGGACCAATTTTTTTAATGTATTAGAAAAGAAAAAACAAAAAACAAAATGAATGTAGCCACACAATCTCAAACAAAAATAGAAACACAACAGCAACAACAACAACAACAATTAGACGTCAACATGCAAGTGTCCAGCATTAATAGCAGCAGTTTAGCATCAACAATAAAACAGAAATCACATCAAGCCAGTGATATGAATCCGCCAACAACAGCACGCAGTCCCTCGCCAGATGGCAGTCGGGACTATGATGTAACCCGCATGAGAGAGGAAGACTTTGAACGCCTGGCCGTTTACATAGTACCCGATGTACAGTGTGAGCGTGGCGTTAGCAATAGAGCCGATAAAACACTGCCACGCAGTTTGACACTTAAACCATCGATGGTTTTTTCATCACCAAATGTTAAGGTAATAAAAAATTTTAACACAAATTAATAAAACTTCTTAATCATTTCTTTATTTTTATTATTACTAGACTGAAGGAATTTGGAGTACTGGTGTTATACCACGTGGTACCCGTTTTGGTCCCTTTGAAGGTGTACCAACTCCTCATTATCCCAACGATTCAAATACGGCGCGTTACTTTTGGCGGGTAAGCTAAAAATTTTTAATTTTATACAAGTTTATACGTTTTTTTCTACTCTCTCTCTCTCTCGCTGTCGGCTTAAACTATCCATCTATCCATTGCCCTTAACTGAGAGAGTGCTAACATCAATAAACTATATTATTGCTAACAAACCCTTTTATGTAAACCCTTTAACACTAGTGTAATTTGTCTGTCAATCTCATCAAACCATCATCAAATTTTTTCTAACAAAATCAAAAACCTCATCATCAAAACTTAAATTAACCCAACAAAACCAAACTTTTTCTTTTTTTTTAATTTCATGTGACCCTTACACAAAAACTCTCTAAAACTCAAAAAAAAAAAAAATAAAAACTATTACAAAATACTAAAAAAAAACCTAAAACAAAAATCTAAAAAAATCAACCATCAATCAGGTGCAGGGAACACGCCATATAACATACGGGAATATAAAGGTACTAATTTTTTATTTGGTTTTTATTTTTTTCTTTAACTTTTTATTTGTTTTACTACAAACAGCTTTCCTTCCTATTATCTATCTACTCTCTGTGTATAACTGTCAAAAATTCTGTTAATCTGTGTATTTTTCTCTAATTAACACTATCCTTACTCCTTTGTATGTTGTAACATTTGCTAGTAACTAACCATCTAAACTAATCAACTTACTACTAACCAAGTAAAACTACTACTACTACTATTGGTGTAATTTACTTATATTTGTATATTTTTGCGTGCGTATGCCTCAGCAACCTCCCGACTACAAGCAGCAGTCTTCTTAGGAACTGACTGTAATGCCTGGACTTGGAGGTCAAATTTTCAATTCTAATTTTTGTATGATTTGTAGTAGATTTTGAAATGTTCGGTGTCAAAGTTATTTTTGTTGTTGTTCGAAATTTCTTAAAACTAAATTTAGAATTTGTTTACTCTTGTCTCTTCACAGATATTCAAAGATGATGATTATTATTATTTGGATGGCTCCGATCGTTCACAGTCGAATTGGATGCGTTATGTGGCTTCGGCCTATAGTCTGGACACCATGAACTTGGTGGCTTGCCAGCATCAGGAGAACATCTATTTTTATACCACACGCGATATCATGCCCAATGAAGAATTAATGGTGTGGTATTGTAAGGATTTCGCCAAACGTTTGGGTTATGATGTGGACCCTGAACGTACTTTATTTGGTGCCTGTAAAGAGGTGGCCGATGAGGATGAAGAAGGTGAGATGGAGGCAGAGGAGGAACATGAACCCGAAACAGAAGAGGAATATGTGTGTGTCAAGAAGAGAGCCTGTTCGCCTTATGATATGCCCGCCCCTGAAATTCCGCCAGAAGTTGCCTACAATCATATTACCTATGTAATGGGCCTTCATTTACCACCTCCCTTGTCTTCGGGTGCACGCAATGATAGGCGTTCTCCCACTCTTAGTCCCTCCCCACCTAATGTCAATCAAACACAAAACACACACCCGCATATCCAACACAGCCATCAGTCTGGTCATCAGTCAAGAACGCTGATCAGACACTCAACGCTACATCAGCCTCATCAAAGTGTTTTACATCTGAAACAAGAACCTACCTCGGTCATTGTACAGGATCATCATCACCTAGCCATGGACCAAGAGTGCGTTAATCAAAAGGACCACAAAGATGTGGGAAGTTCTCCCATTTCGCACAAAGAAGCCCAATACGAACACCAGCTGACGCCAAATGATGGTAGCGTACGTTCGGTACGTTCCGATGAGGGCTATCACAGCAACGAGTATCATGAAGATCGTCTAACGCCTTCGGGCGGTGATGATAGTGATACCGAGAGTGAACACAATTATGTTTTAGATTGTTCTAAGAAAGCCATTGCTCCCAAAGAAACCGTTATTGCCCATTCCCAAAAACCCTGCAGTACAGTTACATCGGTGCCCTCGGCGAATGTAACGGCCGCAGTCTCAGCAGGTGAATGCTGCAAAAATGAATATAGAAAGTTCAAAGTGAAAATGCCTCTAAAATATGAATTTAAGAATAGTACCAAGACTGAAGCAAACAATGCCACCACCACCATCACTAACACCAATATCTCATCTATCAAACAGGATGATTTGCACATTGCGGCCAGCTCAAGTGAGGATGAGAATCGTACGGATTGCACCTCCTCCACACAAATCGATGAAATGATGGATGTAGATTTTCGTTCGTCGAGAAGTGTTAATGATGAAACTACTGCCACCACCACACAACCAGCCTCAAGTACAGTTATTGTATTGGAAAGCAGCCAAAAGCGCACAATAGTGCCTTTAACTAAACCCTACTATGAAGCCGAATCCAGCTCTCCACCACCTGCTGGTCAAGGCTACATACGTTATACACCTCCCTCTAGCATTTTGGAAACAATACTGACTGGTCAACATCAGCATCGTTTGGAAACGGCAGCTGCCGCCGCTGCTGTGGTAGTGGCATGCCGTCAAGCTAACTCCGCCACACCTCCCCCTTCGTCACCCACTGAAATGGCTTATTCTTACAAGAAGTCTCATCGCTATGGCAATGCTGTTAGCCCCGATTCTAGTTCCAACATGGTGGCAGAGCATAATGCACACGACAACGAAGCTGAATTACACCTAAACTCTACCACATGTAAGAAAGATCTCTGCTCTCCACCACCACCTTCTCTACAACAGCATCATGTTTTATTCTCACCAAATGGTGTGCATGGCGCCTATGTCAATGATGGTCAACATACACCGCCTTATTCCACCTACTCCTCTTATTCCAACAGCAGTTTAAATGGACAATCAGTGAGCGTTTTACATGCACCCACCTCCACTTTCCACTCACCACCCCACAGTGCTCAATCCCCCTTCGACAGACAATCGCATTCCTCCAGTGGTTCCAATCAAAACTTGCATCTACTGCAAGGCAGTACACAAATGCTAAATCATCCCCTAATGCAGCCCCTCACTCCCCTACAGAGACTATCCCCTTTGCGCATTTCACCACCCAGCAGCCTCAGTCCGGATGGCAACTCTTGTCCACGCAGTGGCAGTCCTTTGAGTCCCAACTCCTTGGCTTCCCGCGGCTATCGCTCCTTACCCTATCCGCTCAAAAAGAAAGATGGTAAAATGCATTACGAATGCAATGTTTGCTGTAAAACTTTCGGCCAATTAAGCAATTTAAAGGTACATCTACGTACTCATTCTGGTGAAAGACCCTTCAAATGTAATGTCTGTACCAAGAGTTTCACCCAATTGGCCCACTTGCAGAAACATCATCTGGTGCATACGGGTGAAAAACCTCACCAGTGCGATATTTGCAAGAAACGTTTCTCATCAACATCGAATTTGAAGACTCATTTACGCTTACACAGCGGTCAAAAGCCATACGCTTGCGATTTATGTCCGCAAAAGTTTACACAGTTTGTGCATTTGAAATTGCACAAACGTTTGCATACCAATGATCGGCCGTATGTGTGTCAAGGTTGTGATAAGAAATATATAAGTGCATCAGGTTTACGTACGCATTGGAAGACGACCAGTTGCAAGCCCAATAATTTAGAAGAAGAATTGGCTATGGCGGCAGCAGCAACTTCGGAATGTTTAGGTAAGTTTTGAGGGGTTTGAAAGAAAGAACTTTCTAGAATATAAATTTCCTGATTTTGTTTTTAAACTAATTTTGTATGCATTTTTGTTTATTTATAGACAAGGACCATCCTGAACCAGATTCTAGAGAAGCATTCGAACAAATACAACAGCATATACATCCACATTTGCGCCATGCCGAACATTTGAACCCAGGACGCGGCATGGGCCATTCGTCACAACAAACGCATAGTCACATGCAACAGCAACACGTTCCTATGCTGCATCAACATTTGCCACCTCCCTCCTCGGCTGCGGCTGCCACCATGTTGCTCACAACTGCCAACCAAATCCATCAACATCAGCATCAACACCAGCACCAACAACATACCCATCAGCAGCAACAACAACTTCTACATCCACACCAACAACATTTACTACAACATCAATCACTCAAAGTTAAACCCCAGCTACACATGATGCCAAACAATAACCATGATTCTGGCCCCACAGGACCCAACAATATGTCCCATGCCCATGTAGCAGCAGCGGCGGCAGCACATGCAGCAGCAGCCGCTGCAGCTGCTGCCCATGCAGCCTCACAACATCCCTTGGGTCCACCACAAGATTCCCGACCCTCTGTCATAGAATCAAATCAACCCATGATCATAGAGTGTACGTAAATTATAAAACAACTTAGCAGTTGAAAGCTCAATAGATCAACCTCTCTCTCACTCTCTCTCTCTCTCTGAGTGCTTAAGTGTTGTAAACTATGCCAACAAGCAACTAGGCAAAAAGAAAGCTTCTTATGTAATGTAATGCTTAGGCTTGTCTTAACCACAGCTTTAGGAAAAGCTTTTTTGTTTTTTCCTATGGAACCACACAAAATCAACAACCATAAAATGAGTGCAATAATTAAACAAAAAATTGTCGGTATTATTAAAGAAACAAAAAGTAAATTAAGCTTATTTTGTATTAAACATGGAATTTTGAACTTATAAAGGAATTTATAGCAAAATTATAACTGAACAAAAGAAAAACGATCTCAACAATTGGCAGCCAATTATTAAAAAAAAAAAACAAAATTTTAAAAAGCTCTGTTTAGGCTTAAAGTTGTTTTAAAACAACTTTTAAGTTGAGGAGTTATAAATTAATTTCTTTTCTTTTTATGGAAAAAAATATATTGTATAACTTATATTCTTGCATATATTAGTATGTAAAGATAATTTCAATTAAACAATTATAATTAATTCATTTAAACTAAATTATAAATCAAAAAAAAATAATAAGGAAAAATGTCTAAACATTACTCTACGACAGCGTCATTAAAAGTGCATTTAATAAAAAATAGTAGTTTGTAATTAAAAAAAAGAAAAAAATTGTAAAAATCGTTATAGAAAAACAAAAAACAAATTAGATGGAAATTACATAAAAGTTGCCTTATTTCATTAGATTTTTATAAAATTTTTAGTAAATTTTTTATTTCAACACACAAATTAATAGAAAAGTATTTGTAAAAAAATGTAAAAATTTTATAAAAAAAAATCAATATGGACAGACAGACACAAGGCTAGAAACAATAGGTTTTTTTTTTGTTTAAAATTAACAGATTTAAATGTAAATATTTTTAACAATTGCCGCCAAGTGTTTTTCTTTACAATTTTGAAACAGTTAGTTATGGTATTTACTTTACTTATTTTTTTCTCTAAGTGTGTATAATCATAAAAATTAGTAATTAATTGTAGATTTTTTTTTTTTGAAAATATTTATATACATATAATAAATGTGTAGTGTTATTAGTAGAATTAAAAAAAAAAATACTAAATCGTAGCTGAAAATCGGTGCTTTTAAACCTGGTTTTATTTGTCTACAGGGAAACCATTAAGACTTTTTCTCTTTAAAAAACAAAATTCAATTCATTTACAAAATGATTTAGACAAAAGAGAGTGAAGATCATAATGATTTTTGACAATTTTAAAGAATTGTTAAGCAGTTTTCAGTGGCCAAATAAAACAGGTGACATTTTTGGGAAAATATTATTGCAAAGAATTATGTTTTTTCAAAAAAAAAATTATAAAAATAACAATTTAAATTTAGAAAACTTAATAATTAAATAATATTTAATATTATTATTAATTATATATAATTAAGCATTAATTAAAATTAAATAAATTATTCATATTATGTCGTGTAAATAGTTTTGATAAAAGAAAAAAAAAACACATTTAAGCAGTATTTATAGAAACTATATAAAAAAACCTAAATATAATTATTATTTAAGTTAAATTTAATTTTAAAAATTTCTTCCCCAAATTCTTAAAAATTACCAAGGATTTTTTTTAAATAATTATTATTTCAAAACTTCTTTTTTTTAATTTTTTATCAAAAACCCACCGTTTTAAATTTTTATTTTTGAAATTTATTTTTTTTTTTTTGTTTAAAAATTCCCTAATCCTCGCTTTTTTTGAAACAAAATTCTTTAACAAAAACACTTTTAAGTAATAATTACTTAAACAACAACAATTTGTAAATTTATAGCAATTAATCTTAAAAACCACAACAAACAAATTATTAAAAAAAAAAAAACAAATAACAAAAAAATTAAATTTTTAAAAATTTATACATGAGGCTGATTAGTTTTAAGCAAATTTTGTAAATTATAATATAAATAAAACACAACAACAACAACAACAGGAGGAAAATAAAAACAACAACTTTATAAAACAGATAACTAATCTCTAATAATCTTCAAAAAAAAAAAATATCTAAAAAAATTAAAGAGATAAGTTAAAAAAGACCCTCCCTCTCTCTCTCTCTCCTCTTCTTTATATTAAACTAACTATAACTGTAAACATAGTTTTCCTTAAACAACAAAAATTATATATATAGATTATTCTAATTAAAAATTATATTTTTACTTTTTTTTCTCAATATTAAGATAAAACCAACCAACTACAACAATACATCAATCAATACATAAATACAATAAAATATAAATAAAAATAAAATTATTAAAAAAAATGATTATATATTTATATTAAAACAATTTTTACAAAAAAATATATATAATTATATAAAAAAAATTAATAAACAAAAAAGAAAAAAAATAATAAAAAACCCACACAAAACATTTACTCAATAATGCAAAAACAAAAAAAAACGTTTTTTTATTTTATAATTTAAGTTTTTTTTTTCCATTCCATTCGTTAAGTTTTAACTTTTTGTTTAGTTTTTCAAAATTCGTTTACTAAACCCAGCAACAAGTAACAATTAATAAAGAAAAAAAGGAAGACTGATTTTTGTTTACGAAAGTTCCTATAGAGTTAAATGCCACTGGGTTTTTTGTGGTTTAAATTTTACTTTTCTTTTGGTTTAAAAATTTTTGAAAATTTTTCTTTTTCTTTGCTTTAAACTTTGTGTATTTTTTTAAAAAAAAATCACACTTAAAAATAAATGGAGAATAAATGACTGCTTTAGTTTGTAAGAATCATCATTAAAAGAAACATTAATTATAAATTATATTAAATAAAATTTATACAAGAAAAGGATATTTTTAATTTGCATAATGTTACATTTAACTCATCATTGTCAAAGTTTAACTCGCGTTACGAACTTTCAAAAAAATAGCAGACACTGCCACTGGTCTAGATCGGGTGTCAGCAAAGATTTTTCTCTCGTTTTCATAAATTTTTTAAACTCAAACATGTTTTAAATATTTTAAAAGTCTAAAGAGCTAATTATTTTGTTTTGCCGATCAGTGGTCGAACAACTTTTTGAATTTGTGGGAGAGAAAAAGTTAGAATTTAACATTCCCCTTTAGTCTCTCTCATACAAAATCAAAAAAAATGCTCAGTTTGAACCCGCACTTATATTCTACTGGTTGTTGTCAATTATATCGTTTCTGTTGCTTCATGCTGATAGATTGCTTGAGACTACAACCGCCAATATTTTGCTTAAGCCAAGGCTTAGTGTTAAAAGCAACGAAATACGTAAAGAAGTCATCCAAATTTACCCTCCTATTGAAAGCTCTTATCACTCTCTGTCGGTAATTTTAATTCCATTTCATAAAACAGTTTCAGATTATATATACTCTTCCTAGTGCCAGTTCACACAGGGAAACTTTTGTTGAAAAACTTTTTCTTAATTCTCTTTTAAAGTTTTCTTAATGTCTACACAGAGAAACTTATGTTTCAGCAAACTACATATTAATTTGTTTTTGTACGAATGAGAAGCATCAGGTTCATACAGCAAAATTTTTGATTTTGTCTATTATCTCTCTCGCGGTACAGAGTTTCTTGCACTCGGAAACTTTGCTGAAAAAAGTTTCTCTGTGTAGACATTAAGGAAATTTTAAAAGAGAATTACGAAAAAGTTTCTCGACAAAAGTTTGCCTGTGTGAACCGCCATTAACAAATGGTGGTGGACGGTCTACTTTGCAGGCCTATAATTAATCGAGTCCGCACGTAAAGGTCTATGTACCCATCAAAATGATCGGTTTAGCGGTTTAGGTGTAATTGACTGAAAATTAAAACTTGGACGCAATCTGTAGGATAAATTAAAAAGTTTACCGGAACATTTCTCACAGCTGGAGTTTATCGATTACGAACAAACATTATTCTTTTATTTATATAGATATGCATGAAACTTCAATCCCATTTTTTATGGGACACTATTTCATATGGCTAACTGGACTGTCTTCGCTGCAGCATATCATTTCAGTGTGGATCAATTCTGATCAACAGGAAAAAGTTTAAAGGGGTCAAATCCCTAACTCCGAGGTGGTCAGGTCAATTGACATCACCAAAGCAAGATTCTCGAACATAGTACGCACATGATCGATTGTTTGCTAGGGCAGGATAACACAATATTTGGTCTTAAGCCCAAAGACAAAAAAAAATCGAATCCGGCCTCCGAATTTCTCAGTCACATCAGATATTTGAGATATCGTATCCTAAAGATTGAAAAAAAGCTTTTGGCCATATTTTAGACACTACACTAGTGCAAAGACACTTTATAAAATATCTTAAGTCATCTGAAAGCCTAATCTGTTAACGTTGAAATTAAGGTTTATATCGTCTTCCTTCTTCAAGATATCTTAATCTAAAGCTTAAAACAACTATAAATATGAAAATTCTGATATTTTAAAACGTTCCGCATTCTTTATAACAATCCTAAAACAATCTCTTGTATTTGTTGAGATATCGCCCTTTGAAATTTTTAAATTTTCTGTTAAGATATCTCGAAGAATGGGGAAGATAAAAATAGGTCAATCCTTTGTTTTAAAGTAGACAGATTGAACTTACATATAAAATCACAAACTTTATAAATTAAGGTGCTTTCGCGCTGATACAGCGTCACTAATATGACCAACATATAAGACATAATATCTGGAAAACCTGAAGTGATGGGGAAATTCAGAGACCAGAATCGTTCTAGTTCAGTTCTAGTTCAGTTCTAGTTCAGTTCTAGTTCAGTTCTAGTTCAGTTCTAGTTCAGTTCTAGTTCAGTTCTAGTTCAGTTCTAGTTCAGTTCTAGTGCAGTTCTAGTGTTCAGTTCTAGTTCAGTTCTAGTTCAGTTCTAGTTCAGTTCTAGTTCAGTTCTAGTTCAGTTCTAGTTCAGTTCTAGTTCAGTTCTAGTTCAGTTCTAGTTCAGTTCTAGTTCAGTTCTAGTTCAGTTCTAGTTCAGTTCTAGTTCAGTTCTAGTTCAGTTCTAGTTCAGTTCTAGTTCAGTTCTAGTTCTGTTCTAGTTCAGTTCTAGTTCAGTTCTAGTTCGGTTCTAGTTCAGTTCTAGTTCTGTTCTAGTTCAGTTCTAGTTCAGTTCTAGTTCAGTTCTAGTTCAGTTCTAGTTCACTTCTAGTTCAGTTCTAGTTCAGTTCTAGTTCAGTTCTAGTTCAGTTCTAGTTCAGTTCAAGTTCAGTTCTAGTTCAGTTCTAGTTCAGTTCTAGTTCAGTTCTGGTTCAGTTCAGTTCTAGTTCAGTTCTAGTTCAAAATCTCATGTTTATGGAACCAATTCGAAAATAAACTAAGAAATTGTTCAAATAT